CATATTTTTGTATCTCTCAAGTTTCAAACGATATTTTTGGTTTACTGTCCTATAGTATACACTGGAATGATTTCAAACCTGTTCATCCCAATAATTATAAAGGAGTGCCTTGGAAATATTTGTTTACATAAATTGCATTTATCTCTCTTGCTCGCTCCCACGCCCACATTGGCTGTGAGCTGCGGGCGCCTGATAAGCCAACACCCCCCCACTTTCATCACTTACAGCGCCCATCGTACAGGGCAAATGAAAACTGTAACCGGGGTGAAAAGGGTGTTACATTTACTTAATTATGAATGTTGTTACATCAAGGCTGAAAATTAGGATGAGCGCAAACAGTCAAAAATTTATTTTTCCCTCCCAGAGCTGCCAGCGCAGCGCCCCCCCAGATCTGGCGCCCTAGGCGACCGCCTATGTCGCCTATGCCAAAAACCGGCCCTGTACACCATGGTAAATGTATGTCTGCATAAAGCTGAGTTATGATCGGTCATAATAACACAGAATTTAGTGATGATCAAATAGTTTACAGTGAGATTTACTCCCATACTTTTGGCCATACTCACGCAGCTCTACAAATGAATTGAGATTTCCACACAAATGTTCTTTAGCAAGTGTGCAGAGCAGTGTTGATTTAAAAAAGCTATTTGAAGGTTGGATATTTGTAAACCTTTTTTTGTGTATATATTAATAATTTAAGATGTAAATGAATTCCAGTTTATTTGTAGTACTTTCTATTTTTATTGTGACATTTGGAGTGTGTGCATTTCATACAGATAATGGAGCAGTTGCTTTAGGGCCTTAAGGTAAAAAAATGAGATCCTCGACCTCCGCCCCCCTCTCGCACCTCCACACAGAGCCCCCCCACATATCAAATCCCAACTTAACCCCTGGCTGGGTATAACATGTTATATAATTCAGGCTATGAATGATATATAAACAAACCCTTCTGTAAAAACCTTCAGAATATTGATAGGAATATAACTGGAAGGTTTGGTGTATGTAAGTGCTACTGAAGTGGACATTTCTGACTCAGAATATGAGAAAAAACTCATTTTGAGAAAACGACCTTTAAAGATTGCTGTGAGGCGCTCCCTAAACCCTCCTGTTCTTGTTTGGATGACAACTTGCGCATCGACGCACTCCGTGAAGGTATTTCATGTTCGGGATCATTTGTTTTTTGTCTAACTTTTGCCATTTTGAGATTTAAATTTCCAGCGAAAGCTAAACCAAGAAGTGTTTTAGCACACCACGTGACGCATCTGAACGAATCACGTTATCAAAATTGACACCAGCCAATGAGATTTAGTTTTTTGGTTTAAGACCCCTTTGTACTTTCACGATTGGTTGCTAATACAAAGGAAATTACCATATTTGGAACCGATGAGATTGTGCAGGAGAGACGGAGCTTTCCAACGATACCTCTGATTACATGGTCCAAACAGCTGTCGCGGTACTTTATGTTACGTTAGAAAGCTAACTTTTGGTGCATTTAGGAGAAACCTACAGACGCAAATAGACAAACTATAGTCAAATAAACACCTAAATGTGTATTTTGTACATTTTCCTTCCAAAAGCCTGAAAGAAAACATGTTATGGAATCAAAATAGCACAACATATCAAAATTGACCAGTGCATGAAAAACGATGTTTTTGCCTGCCGTGTCTCGCCTTAATGAGTGAGACACACCGGAGTTGAGGATCTGTGGGGTTTGTATGTCGATGTATGGGAAACACTGTTATTTAGTGGGAATGCTGATACAGCATTCCAACTATATGTTATGCTACGGACAAAAAGTGTATTATTCCACCGACTTATTTTGGCCCTCTTCTCCTCCCACATTCAACATCGCAGAAACTCCGTTCAAACATCAAAACGTTCAGCTCGGTCGGGAATCGCAGGCTATTACTTTTATCATTCATAACTTTCATAATTCCAGAGATACATCCCATAATACATCACATTTTTAACATTTTAACTTTAACATTGCGCAGCTCGTTAAGGCAGAGTGCGTGATGTCACAGCTAGAGTGTAGGAAATCTTGAAATTTGCCTTCATATATTTTTTTTTAAACTGCCATAATTCCCAAACCCTACATTCCTGAGGCATAATTTTTCATGACAAACGTAGGAAAACATCTCGTAGCTTGAAAAATGACAAATAATTAAGCAAAAAATAATTAAACAAAATGCCTCTTGAGGGCATGAAGTGACAAAAACTTTCAACATGTCTCCATTAAAACCCATTGTAATTTCAGGCTGATATTTCCTCACAGCAGCAGCCGCACACCTTTAGTTAAACTGCCAAAAAGGCCACATTATTAACCCGAAAGTACACACAAATTACACTTCAGATACTCAACTTCCTTGACATGCTTCACGTTTTGAAATTTCACAGATATCTGTTACGGTTCTTCCACAAAACGTTCACATGTAAGAGGTTTATCTCTGATTCAGAACAATGGAAACGATAGTTACGTATGTAACTACGGTTCTATGAATACTGGATGCTAAAGCACCGCCTCTGGCGGTCAGTAAGTATGAAATAGAACCTATGATCTCTGCAGAGCTCGTTAGCTCAACTATAAACACCTGTGTAATGGAACACGATGATGTCATCACTCCAACTGACATTCACTCAGAGCAGCAGACTTCAGATAAAGGTTAATGGTCCTGCCCTCAACAGCTCTACGTCAATTATGGGGTGTCATCATCATATGCGGAAGATCAAGAGGGCGATCAAGAGAAGAGAGAGGGCGATCAAGAGAAGAGAGAGAGTAATGTAACCTCCTAATGTAATGTATAACTCCTATGAAAATATTCAAAAAGTGCTCAAACTTCACATGTGTGCTAACAGTCCAGCCGTGAAGACATCTACGGGACAGTTTTGAGATTTCTTCAAATGCCGTTGCCATGGCAACACAATGCTCGCCTTGAAACATGGTTTTATCATAACTTCAGTGAAAATACTCCAAACAGCCCAAAACTTCACAGGTTTGGTAACGATGCAGCCATCAACGCATCTAAGCGTATTATGGGGTGTCATCAAATGCCGTTGCCATGGCGACAGACAACTCGCCATGAAACACGATGTCGCTGTAAGTCCAATCGACACGGTCCAATCGTCCCCCAATCTTCACTTGTATATCACCGGTCCATGCCTCAACAGCCCTACGCCAAATCTGAGATCTCACCATAGGCTGTTTCCATGGAAACGCATCCCTCGCCAAGAAACACGATATTGTCGTAACTGATATGAAAATGGTCAAAACACCACCAGACTTCAGATGACAGTTATGGCGCATTTCCACCACACGGTCGGCCTCGGCCACGCTCGGTACGGCACGGTACGGCTTGGCCGCGTTGGGCCTTAACAGGGCCGACTCACTTCATGCTGCGCTTCCATTACAGTTTAGGAACTGGGGTAGTTACTATAGTAACGCAGTGTAGGCGGAGCCGTGACGTCATCTTCAACGAGAACCCCAGAAGAACAACACAGCCGTTAGTTGTTAGCACTCAGAGCTCACAGCTCCTTATATATGTTCAGAAACTCGACAAAAGTTAAACAAGTACAAACCACAGACTGCCTGTGTCATGGTGAATACAGTCGCTGCTTTATTTATGTCTGTATAGGCCGTTGTTGTGAGTGTGGACGGTCGGAGCATATACTGCGTTAGCTTAGCCAATCTCCATCTAGAAAACACGCATTTTAAAAGGTTTTTCGCCTGCCGTCTGTCTGCAAACTTGCCAAAGCATTAATTCATGGTTTTTACTAACCGGTATCAGTATGTTGTTACTTCGGCATCATTTTGAAACGTGTATTACAATTAAATCACGGTCAAATATGTCCATCTTGTTGTAGTTGTAGCCCCCTTGCCAGCGATCCTCTCTCTAGTTTAGCATACTCAGCCCGACTCAGCCCTGTTTGTTGGCCCCGATAGAACCACAATTTTGTCGGGCCAGAAAAGAGGTGAAAAAGTGGCCCCGGGCCGGGCCGGGCCGTAACTAGGCCTAGTGGAAGCGCAACCAAAAACGGGCACGGCACGACACGGCACGCTTAAAGCGCGCTCCGCGCCATGGTGGAAATGCGCCATTAATGGTCCAGCCCTCAACATGTCTATGTGCCATTAGTGAGTTTTCCTCAAAAGGGCAGACTGTGTATATATAGCATGCAGATGCAGACACATTCCATAGACTGTGGACGTCCTCATGTGAGGAGGGGTGGAGGAGTTGCACAGTTTGGGGAGATGATGTTCACTGATGGAGGGAACATGGCTCAGAGAGTTCCCCCACCAGTCACACTCGGTGCACTGCATCACAGTACAGCTGCAGACACTGGGTTTATTTGCACGTATTCTCCTCTAAAGAGCAAACAGCCACCTGGCAGGCTTCCCCCACTCTCCCTCTCCATCCTGTGTTTGCTGCTGTAAAAAGGAATGTGTGGAGGAAAGGTGATTCACCCCCTCAGAGACGCCATGATGTAACTCTGCATCGGGGGATGAAACGGTGCAGGTGCTCCATTTCCTGGTACCTGCAAAACAGAACACAAACTTCACTTTACTGTCGTATCCTCGTCTGTTTTGTTGCTGCAGTAACTTATATTTAAGTTATTTTTCCTTTGATAAAATACTTGCAGTTATTCAACTTGTAATAATGTATGTTACTCAAGTAAAGGGTGTGAATACTTCAGACTCATGCTAGTATAATCCTCCATACTAACCCCCATGTGAGGCTGAGTCTCCCTCTAGTGTTTAGTATCAGTATTGACCACCACCACCACCGCCATCCCATAGTAGCAAAGACATACAGTATGTACATTTGACATTGTCACATTTTTCCAATATGATGAAAAACCTGATGATGTATATTAAATATTCTTTAGTCCTCACCATGCATGTTGATTCTGAGTGATGTCACACTGCTCCTTTACATAACTGCATGGTGCATCAACACTTCCTGTATTTATGTGAGTGATACATCCTCCATATGTGATGAACCACATACCTTTGTGTGATTTGATTCCATGTGTTCCTGTCAGACTGGAGTCCCAGATGACCTCAGACATCCAGGCCATCCTGCACCTCCTCCAGAGGCAGACCACGTCCGGGCCCCCCGCCTACAGCACCGTCACCTCCAGCCCGGAGTACCAGAGGCCGGCCATCAGGGTGCAGCCGGTGTCGGCCCTGCAGGCGGAGTTCAGCCTGGACCCTGCTCCGCCCCGGCCTCAGGTAATAAACCACAGATTCAAGACATTAAGGAAAAAAACGCATATATTGCAAATATTGAAATCCTGTAAGGGCATTGGTTTGAACAGTGTGCTCACTCTGATCCGTCTTCACGCTGTGTTTCTCCTCCAGAGCCCGGAGAAGACCCCGAACAGATCCACAGACGGCTCCCCGGTGCTCCTGCGACCCGACGCTCTTCCAGACGGGGGCGTGGCCTCCCTGCTGGAGACAGACTGGGTCTCGGAGCAGAGACACACACAGGACAGCTCTGTGGAGCCCCCCCCCCACCAGAGGCTGCCGTCAGGCCGACAAGCCTCCCTGCCTGAAGTGGGCTCAGCACCGTCAGCACTGCAGCGGCCTGTGTCTGACCCGGGGCTCCCAGGAAACTAGCCCCCCCCCCCGCACCTCTCCTCTCAAGCTTGTCTCAGGGTCTAAGAAAGAGACTGTATATGCAAAGGCAACTGTAGACTTTCTTCCATTACTTTTACGGACTCTCTCCCCCGCCCCTCTCTGATTTAAATGTATAAAGACAATTTATACAGAGGTATTTATACACTATATTATTACCACGTGTAAAGTCATCATCCACCGTGTACATACTTTATAGAACACTGCCAGCAACACGAGGCACCTGATGTGCTTTTTCTAAAACAGATATGCATGTTTTACGTCCTGACGGTTGCTTTTCTTCCTGTGGCATGTTCCTCACTCTGACTCCCTCCAGGACCTCTGTAGCTGTCACCTCTTTTCTAACGCTCCTCCCCCCCCCCCCCAGGGAATCAGCTACATGAAAATCTTCCCGAGGCATTTCCACAGGCTCTGATCTTTCTATCAGCAGCTCCAAAACGTCCACGCAGAGATCTGCCGCTATATTTAGCATGCCTGATTCCACCACAACGCTGAGAATACACAGCGCAGTGTGTGAGGCTGCGCAGACATCCCACAACCACACACACGTCAGTCTTTGAGATCAATAACGATCTCATATCTCTAGAGACGAATCCGCTCTGGAGATCATTTTACACGTGAACAAAGTAAAGAGCCTCTTTCAGCTGCAGTTATGTTCCTTCACATGTTTCAGACAACATATTGAATGCTTGAATTATTAGATTTAAAAACACATATTTACCATATAACCACCTGAATCCTATCAATATAACAGAAGCATGGCTGTGGGGGGTTTGCAGTTCACTCTGGACTTGTAAGGGTCAGCGGTCTGCGGGTGTTTCTTTACATTACTATTAGGGCCATTGTAGCTGGAAATGAATGAATTTGAAAGATATGAATCTGGAGAACAGGGGGTAAACCTTCACTTTGCAAAGCTGTGGTGTGCAATGTGAAGTTGTTTTCAGTGAAGTAGGGACTTAAATCTGTTAGAAAATATTTAAACTTTCTTGCAAATTATTAAGAGAAAATATTTGATATTTGTAAGTGTTCTCTTGTTAATGAACCACTTAAAACTCAGAGAATATCCATGTGTTTTCTCTATAATGTTCTTTATTTTTGACCCAAAGACACCCTAATACACTGTCATTTCTCCTTCATATGCTAACCGACAGGAAGTGACATCTTGAATCTCCTTCACACCCTGAGTGAACTCTGACGATCCCACGTGATAGTTTTCAGTTGCATGCTTTAGGTCTTCCATTGTCTTCTTAAAAAGTACAATTTCCTAGATAAAAACCAGGAGAAAAGGACAAAAAAAAGAGAAAATAGTTGTCCATGTTTTCGGGCCGCCTTCACTAGCCTTAGCTTTAAACGCCTGCTCTAGCCTTGACACACGACGGCGACCCGGTGCAACAGCGCCACATTTAAAGGAACCACGTTAGGGTGCATGAGGAAAATGAATTAGTCATTTCCTAACCACACACTCTCACACAAGCTCATGTATTGCATGGAGACTGCACTCAATTATAACAAGGTCTCAAACTGTTTATGACATTTGGAAGGAGATTTAGAAATAACGCTTCGACCTATTTTTCTAAAACAAAGTTTCATTTGCCATTATTTTTCTATGACCTTATTGTTTCCCCCGAGATGTTGAGGGGAAGGCTTTGGAGTGCAGAAGGGAAGAAGATGAATGCAATGTACAGCCTCTCAATGTAGCAAGCAACACTTCAGTGACGGGCTTTAGGCTGCATGAAACATTCATATTGCACATCATATCATTTCTACTTCTTCAACCCAACTCTTTACTTTGTTAAAACCCGGGGAAACCTTATTTAGGAAAAGAGAAACCACACGGATGCTCCAGCAGGGTGTCCTCCATCTTTCTTTCTCGAGCACAGATGTAGAACAAAGGTTGCTGACGCCGATAGACTCCACGCGTCCTGAACACTTTTCCATGGGATTTGCTAACTTTTGCACAGATTAGAAAACTTGCTGTACTGGATAACAATGTCCCTTTTGAAATACTTAGTGCTGTTCACAATTGTTTTTATGCATTTTTTTAAATGTTTGCCACTGTATTTTATACAATGCAACACTTAACAGCTCATTTGAATGTTTCTGTTCTTAACTATATTTAAATAAATGAAATATCATGTGAATAGACTGGGAAAAAAATGCGCAATTGTATAAATGAATAAACAGAATGCATACTGATTAGAAAGTGTTTATTGTGGGTAACAAAATATGATCTGAACTATGGCAATAGGAGTGTGCAGGGCATCTTTAAAAAGTACAACCAGCTGTGTTTGTAGGGAAACATTCAAAACAAAGTGTGAAGCTGCACTAATCTCAGGCTTTATCTCACTAGCATTATAACAGTTATCACAGTCACTTTGGCTCGTTATCAACTTTCACATCAAGCTAATCTAAACTTATATAAAAAAACAGAAATAAAAAATATGGCAAGAAAGGAGAAAGCTCTAATAAAACCATAACCATATCAAGTTCAGTGTAAAGGCATATGAACATGTTTTGTGTAAATGCTGCTAATATTTCATCATTAATCATGATGCTGCCTGACAAGGCTCTCTAGAAGCGAGTTTCATATATTAGCGTACATTCAGATTATAATGGCACATTAGGTGTCTCACAGGTCGACACATCCAGCATCACTCTGGCATCCAATCGAAGATTTTTTTTAAATGTGTTATAAATTATTCTAATTCCCTCTAATGTGAATACATACTGGCTTTATATAGATTTATATATGCGCCTGATTCAGCACGTCCCTGTGTGACTTACAAGACTAAACAGCAAGCGTTACAAGCATGAGTACTTTCCTGTTGCAGCTCAGTCAAAAATACTGGCCTCCTTTTGCATTCCCATGAGGCAGTGGTCCAGACTCCTCCTCTGATTGGTCGGTGCCGCCTTAGATGGCCATCGTGCACAGGATGAACTGGTGACAGAAAGAAAGAGAGATGGAATTAACCTCAGCACCTCAACAGGATATGGTGTTTGAAGCTGCTCTGAGCCGTTTCATATGCAGGTAAGCGGCAGCTACATGGAACTAAAGAATAAAGGTCAGGTGGAGGCAGCAGGCTACGAGTTGAAACATCTGGACTTAAGCTATGTGATGCAGTGATATCTCCACAGGACACAGGACTCACGTCATCGTACTGGAAGGAGACGGCTCCCTGCTGCATGGTGTCTCTCCTTTTGAAGTTATCTGCACCAGGAACAGGAAACATCGGCGTCAATAAACACATTTCACGCTCAGTCCACATTAAACATCTGGACAGCAGTGTGTTCAGTGAACGTGTCACATCATCTCTAGATGTGTATACCTGTGTGAGCACGCAGTTTGATGCAGCAGGCCACGTAGTCGTCGAAGTAGATCCTCCCTCCTTTGTTGTAGCGCTTGATGATCACATTCAGAGCCTGAGGGCTGACGCGGAACCCTGAGGAACACAGAAGAAGATTAATATCAGGCCTAAAAACGCAGAATCCAAGTGCATTTTGTCTGGGCTTTTAAGTCATGTGTGTCTTCATTAAGTGTCCCTCCCTCATGCTTCAGCCTCACCCATAGCGTAGATGGCCTGCCCCATCTCCTGCGGCTCCACAGTGCCGCTCCTGTCCCGGTCGAACATCACAAAGTTCTGCTTCCAGCCGTTCAAAGCCGTGAACAGGTCCTTGAACTCGTTGAAGCCCATCTTCCCCGTGGAGTCCCGCTGCACACACTCGGGTTAAGATTCATAACTGCTGACCCACAGGTATAGAAACAGCAGGCAGCCATTGACATACACACAGCTGGTTAACCCGGTTCAAGGACAAACACCACACCTACTGTACATATACTTCCATGGTGAGTGTGAGTGGACAATAGGAGCACCTGAGGGACTCATTGGTATTAAAGTTAGGATACATCCATCATTGCGATCATGACTCTGCAAGTCTCCAGGTTGAATGCTGTAAAGAGAAAATAAAGGGGGAAATTAGTAAATCTAGGTTTAAAGTCCATGTTTTCACACTTAACTTTAGTGCTAATTAATCCATCTGCTGACGGCGAAATCTGTTCAATATTTCCCTGATTAATGAATCAGTCATATGCTGTTAAAAAGGCTGTGCTTGTATTCAACTCTGTGTACTTTCTCAATCTCACAGTAATATCCATTACAGTCTTTAACTGTTAGTCTTTATTCATGAAAGGCAGTATAATAATATTGCTAATAATATTTTCTTGGTGAGCTCTTATGCCACCAAAAAACACAAATATTGAACTCAGATACTCTTCACTTTACGTCATGTATGTAATCTGCAACTTATACTCACATATTTCGTGAACTACCACTTCCTTCTCCTTTATACTAATGAATATTCATTTTTCACATGCACTGAAAGAGACTGTCAGCTGTCAACCAATCACAGAGGAGATAATAGTGGTTTGACACTTCCCCTCCAGAGAAATACATCACTTGATATAAAGACCTATTAGGCATTTTGTTAGTGTTTTAAAGCCCTCTAAGTTTGCGAGTACGGCCTCTGCTCATTTGTTAAATGCATGATGTAAAACAACTAAGAACTCATATTGTCTGAGGCAGTCTCTCTTGTGGAAGGAGTCGTGGACTTACGAGAGTAGGATCCGGTGAATCCACCCTGGGTGAGACACCTCTGCAGCTCGTCTGCATCCACCTCTCCGTCCTGAACACAGCAGGGGTTGGGGGGGGGGGACAAATTATAGTTTTACTTTTATGTAGGCATTTTAAATATTGCAGTCTTCCAAAGGACCACTTTAGATAAGGTAGTGTAGTGAGTCATTCATTACTGAAAGAGAGTGAAATCAAGTTCAAACAGAGCCCTGCTTCCTCTTAACTTCATAGTAACTGAACCGATTCATGAAACCTGATATGTCTGCAGAGAATGTCCTCTTTGTGACCACACTTCAATATGAAAGTGAAAGCTAGCCTTTGGTAAAACTCTGCCTTTTATATAGGCTACGTGTACTGTGTGCTCTCCTGTGAGGTTCGAGAAGTGAAGAGTGCGAGTTCCTCCACACTAACCTGGCCTGCAATGGCGGTGAAGAAACCCCACATCGGGTCATTAGCAACAGCTGGGGCGCCGTACGAGCCTTGATATCCTCCTCCATAGGCGGCATACCCTCCCTGATGGGGTGCGCCTGCCATCTGCCCTCCCATGGGCCCTCCCATGGGCCCTCCCATGGGCCCTCCCATGGGCCCTCCCATGGGCCCTCCCATGGGCCCACCCATGGGCCCACCCATGGGCCCACCCATGGGCCCTCCTGGCATCCCCGGCATCCCCTGAGCTGGCATTCCCGGCATGGGACCGCCGTACTGAGGCTGGGGACACATCAGAGACCAGGGTGGGTGTCATTAAAGACTCTCAAAGTGTTTATTCAAATGTAGAAAACAGGATACAACTACCACATATTTTTCTCACTTTCAATGGTTACTTATTATTATATAACTCACATATAAAAGACTTTTTTAAATAGCAATTCATTGATTTTGACAACAGTTTGGGAAATGTGATATCTTGTTGTGCTTGTAATATATAAAGCATGCCAGTGTTACATTCACTGACTGCAGGTATCAACGTGAAGTGATGCCTGCCTGACTGTCACTCTGGAGGCCTGCTATTGGCTGAGGAACAATAAGCTTCTAACCCCTATTCATCAAAACTGAGGAGTCACTGCATTCCACACTTAGACGTAGATAAAAGCGATTTTTAGTTTAATATACAAAGCTTAAAAGGAGGTGTCTTGAGTCCCATTTTTCTAGTTTAATTGAGTAAATACAGGCCAGAATTGGGTCCTCTTTGTAATCAATTAAGGATTCCCAGAGGCAGATGTATAGGCCTTAAAAAAGAGATTGGTACATGGGCGTCGCAGCCATTATATGAGGGTAGGACAAGTCCCCCCCACTTTTTCAAATGATTAGTTTAGACCCCCCCACTTTTACTATGCGGAAAGTCCGTGAATCGGTCTATCCACTCGCCGCACTTTGTAGAGCGCTGTGTCAGTGCTTCACTATCAAATGAAATCCATTCCACTTGCTTATTGAGAGAATGCCCAAATCAATGAAACTCCGTACCATGTTTTCACTGCTACTTTGTACCAAGGCAGATTCTCACATAGCGCGCGCATGTTCAAGGAGTGTTGTCATAGTTGGACAGCTCAGATCTGTTGTATGAAGCGATGCCGGTAGCGGCGGTAAGGCACACACACCAAATGTTCAGGAAATGGTTAATACAGCGAAAATCAAAGCTGACGATCTCTTGGTTTGATATGTTTTCTCCCCCAGACAACATGGACATAAGAACATTTTTTTCAAAGAAGAGGAAAGTAAGTCATCAGCTGGTAGCAGTTAATCAGTGAACAGTGATGGCGGCGTCTCACTTCTGGAGAGGAGTTTCATCTTTATGTCATGATAGAGAGATACAAATACTGAATAGTTTAGATGAGAAAAGGCATCGAAATGCCAGGTTACTAGTATTTATCATGTAAACAGGGAACATGAATAACCCGATCTCTCTGTGCTCATGTAAACACCATATCCCCAATATGATCATAACCGGGATAATACTCATAAACGGCTTACTGATGTCCATGTAGAGACGCAGTCAGTGTGTTTTACTGGAGCCTCAGTTCGATAAGAGATTATTTTCTGAGTTCTTTAACTTAGGTACTCTCTCTCAAAATGGTCATGTGCATTATGTTTTAATTATACTTCTTATCATTCAGAAGCTTTTTGTGTGTGTTTATGTTTTACTGAGTGCTTATAGGCTATTTCCATCCCAGTATTCAGTTAACTATTTATTTTCTGTGCACATTACATAGACTAGCTAATATTCTACCGACTGCTTGGGACTTTGAGTCTTCAAAATGTCCAATGTCACAGACTGGGACTTACTTTAGAGTCAGTTGTATTTACATTCAGTATGACTTGTTATGATTCAATGTGAAAGATTATACTGCTCAATAAATAATTATCACTTCACCACCTCTCTTGACATCTAGGCACTTGAGCGTGAGTCAGAGGCAGAATACAGGGACAGTGGAGAGAGGTCCATTGCTGAGGTGAGTGATGAAAGGGAAATGACAGTTGAGAGTAAATTGTGATGT